GGACCTTCATGACATTTCCCTCAACGTGCTGCTTCTAGCCAAATAAATTTTAAACATGATGAAATGCAAAGTAAGGTCTTCCTTTCAACTTCGATTTAACCAAGTAATGAAGGCCAATAAATCAGCTAGTAATTGAGTTTCTGTTACGTAAAAGAACTTTGCATATTTAGTGCTTTGCATTAATCTCTGCTTCTCATGCTCTGGATAAAGACTTCAGATAATTATGCTACTGAAAGATTATTTATGCTACTGAAAGATTATTAAAAGAGCCCATGGTGTTTAAAAAGTTATGCAGTTGAAACCATTTAAATAGAAAATCTGTACTCAGAATACATCCTCTGAAGCAGATGATCAACTTTCATGGAGAATGGGGAAAAATCTGTGTGCCCATAAGTGATGAAACTTCATTTATAAGTTTAATTTGTTTAAAAGGAATACATTTCTTCTTGTCACTCAAGGGACACACAAAATCCATGATTATGATAGCTGACAGATAATAAAGAAAAAGACATTTTCCTTTTTTCCCATTTTATTTCTTTGTGCCTTTGATAGCATTTTGTGTAGTAAATTTAGCTGTTTCCCCTATTAGATTATCTGTTTGCTTGTGTGAGTCTTACAGAGACACAGAAGGGAGAAAAACATTTTTTGAATTGCAATATGTTATCATAAAACAAGCATTAGCAGGGGATACTGATAGTTGTAGAACCTGAATATCTTGCATTTTAAAACTGACTTGATTTCACACTGATGGTGTCCCTCTCTCCTGAGCAATTAATCACCAGCTGTAAGGATCCACCCATGTGGATCTCTAAGGTGCTACAGGACCATTGTTGTTTTTAAAATTTTGTTAGTTACAGATTAACATGGCTACCTCTCTGAGACTTTCAAAATGGTTATAGTATTACATTCACAACACAACTTTCAATGGCTTTTTAGTCTCAGATATAACTAGAACTAGTACCTATATACATTTTTATATTACCAGATTATTTAATTTACAAAGTACAGCAATGAAGGGAGAACATTAAATCCTTTCTTTTACGAAATTGCAAATATTCCATGGAGTTGCTTCATAGTATCCTACTACAGTTTTCACTTTGTCTATACAGGGCTTTATAGTGTGGCTACTTTACAAAGATACAAGGAATTTAGCGTCTACACTATAGATACAGGCACACATACATTGTCTCATAGATACCGCAAGAGGAAAGTCCAAATCCTGCTTTCACATTAACAAGTACAACTCTCACTGAATTCAGTGTGCTGTGTGCAAGTATCTAAAGTCAATTTGGCTCAATGACTTTAAAGACTTACCAGAAATTATTTCTGATGCAGTAATATTTATAGTATAGATTCTTTAACTATGTAAAGAAATTTCAATGAGGTTCAAGAATAAGGCTCCCTTGGGTCATTAATGGTGCAGGCCAGTGTTTTTCAATTTCAGGCCTGTGGACCCATGTCGTCCACAGACTATGTCCATGAGGGTCTGTAAAAGGTCATTGTTGCCATAGAACAGTGATTTTTCAACTGTGATCTGTGGACAACATGGGGGTCCACAGAGTACATCTAAGATTTCCAAAGGGGTCTGACCTACATTTCAAATTTTTAGAGGTTAACAACAACTCTCTGACTATGGTTATCCAGCCAATTATGCACCCACCTTATCGTGGCCCTATCTAAGTTATATTTGCCTAGTTTATCAATAAGAATATCATGCGAGACCGTATCAAATGCCTTACTAAAGTCTAGGTATATGACATCCACCGCTTCTCCCTTATCCACAAGGCTCGTTATCCTATCAAAGAAAGCTATCAGATTAGTTTGGCATGACTTGTTCTTCACAAACCCATGCTGGCTATTCCCTATCACTTTATTACCTTCCAAGTGTTTGCATATGATTTCCTTAATTACCTGCTCCATTATCTTCCCTGGGACAGACGTTAAACTGACCGGTCTGTAGTTTCCTGGGTTGTTCTTATTCCCCTTTTTATAGATGGGTACAATATTTGCCCTTTTCCAGTCTTCTGGAATCTCTCCTGTCTTCCATGATTTTCCAAAGATGATAGTTAAAGGCTCAGATACCACCTCTATCAGCTCCTGGAGTATTCTAGGATGCATTTAATCAGGACCTGGTGACTTGCAGACATCTAACTTTTCTAGGTGATTTTTAACTTATTTTTTTATTTTATCTTCTAAACCTACCCCCTTCCCACTAGCATTCACTGTTCGGCATTTCTTCATCAGACTTCTCGGTGCAGACTGAAACAAAGAAGTCATTGAGCATCTCTGCCATTTCCAAGTTTCCTGTTACTGCTTCTCCCTCCTCACTGAGCAGTGGGCCTACCCTGTCCTTGGTCTTCCTCTTGCTTTTAATGTATTTATAAAAGGTCTTCTTGTTTCCCTTTATGCCTGTAGCTAGTTTGATCTCATTTTGTGCCTTTGCCTTTCTAATCTTGCCCCTGCATTCCCGTGTTGCTTGCCTATATTCATCCTTTGTTATTTGTCCTAGTTTCCATTTTTTATAGGACTCCTTTTTTATTTTGAGATCATGCAAGATCTCCTTGTTAAGCCTAGCTGGTCTTTTGCCGTATTTTCTATCTTTCCTACACAGCGGAATTGTTTGCTTTTGACATTGCATTTTTAACCTTTCATAATGGGCAATGTCTGATCACCAAGTGGCATTGTTTTTACTGCTGCAGTGCTTCTTGCTACATTGGAAGTGCTGTACTAGTACTGTATATTAAAAGCTTTATCCAGCATGTTGGGGATATGGAGGGTGGGTGCTGTAAAGTCCAACATTCCAGTAACTAATAGGGAGGGAGTTTGGGTGCAGGGTATGGCCTCTGAGAGGGAGCTCAGAGCATTGGTTTGTGGTACAGGAGGAATTTTGGGGTGCTGGATCCAGGTGGCATTTACTTTGGGTGGCTCCCTGAAAATGGCAACATGTTCCTGCTGTTCCTAGGCAGAGGCACGGTAAGGAGGCTCTGAGTATTGCCTCCAAACACATATCCCACCCCACAGCTCCCATTGTCCATGGCTCCCAGCCAATGGGAGCTGCAGAGCCAGCACTCGAGGCAGGGTAGGGGCACTGCATGGAGCCCCTGTGAATGTTCTTTCACCTAGGAGCAGCAAGGATGTGTTCCCAGAAGTTATGCAGAGCCAGGTAGGAAGCCTGTTTCCCTGCACCAACTGGACCCTATTGAAAATCAGATATGTCCGTTTATAGAGTTTCTAGTTGAAGTGCCACATAACACAGTTTTACTGTAATCACATTTTAGTTTTGATGCAATATTGTGATTTTCATCCATATTTCAACTGTACCAAACCAAATGAACTATACCAAACCAACCTGGGCTAGATCTGCCACTTCATTGTGCTTTTGCACTGCATCACTGGCAAAATCTGACCCTAAAACCATGCAAGCCAACCCAAGAAGACAGTGCCAGAGAGAGAATGATTTTGTAACCTAAAGAATAAGTTTGAAATACGTAGATTCCCTGGATACACAGGATCAAATCAGAGTATACTTGGTTGTTCATCCTTTCCAAGTAAATAAAACAAGATGCAGTTAGTTTACTGTATACAGATCTGATGGGTGACAGCCTGTGTTGAGTGGACATTAAAGGTCCCGTGACACTTTTTATAAGCCTAGAGCTTGCACTGTTGTACAGTATGCTGAGAGCCAGCTAATTGGCAGGGTCTATCCCAGAGGTGGCTAAATTGTATCCACTTTTGGCAAGTACCTGAAAGTTCTGTCTCTTTTACACTTTCGCAGCTCTTGTATGTACAGCTTATGCCAAAAGAAGTTATTGGATGCTATGCAATTTGAGAGGCATTGTAGAAGACTTATGGATGAAAATTTCAATATGATATAAGATATTATCATCACCAGCACTTCTATTCAATTTTAAAGAATGAGAAATTACTTAAATTAGTCTTTGTTTCTAAAAGATGTGGGTGAGTATCAATGTGCTAAAACCAACCATCTTCCAGGATACCGTTGGTGGTGTTGTCCCGAGAAGCTAGTCAAATCCTGGGTGTTGGGGATGTTCCTCATTAAAGTAGAAATTGATAGTCTAGTAATTTCTGATGCAGGAGGAACCAAAACCAAAAGAAGTAGCTTCTTATATTACTGCACCACACCTTTAAAGAACAGCACCAAAACCCCTCTCTTCAGCTTTTTCCACTGTGCTCACTGCTCAGTTATTTTGCTATTTGCATCTGTTCCTCCCCCTCCTCCCCCCATTCTTGACTATCTTCAATTTCTGTATTGGAGGGGTACTCATGTTAGTCTGAATCTGCATAAAAAATGAGAAATCCTGTGGCACCTTATAGACTAACAGATTTATCAGAGCATAAGCTTTTGTGGGCAAAGACCTGTGTTTTCTCTCTAATGTGCATGTATACACAAGGTCACAATGACCAGTGGAACCCTCTCACCTATCTAGTGCTAGTTTCTGGGCAGATTCTATTAGGCCAGTGGTCCCCAACCACTGGAGGTTGCCGGGCGCCAGGGGGTGTGGCCGTTTGCCTGCCGGGCACCAGAGGGCGGGGACACTTGTGCACCCGGGGCTGGCGGGCCGGCTCCGGCACTATGCATGCGCCACGTGCCCAGCGCCAGGCAAGCCCTGAGCACTTGGCGAGTGCACACAAATTCCCCCGCGGGCGCCATGGTGCCTGCAGGCACCGTGTTTGGGACCACTGTATTAGGCCTTGCTTCTAGGTGTGACCCTCGTGTGTTTTTGCAGGAAAGGGAAGGGAAATCCTTCTTAAGGGAAAGTTTTAACACATCAGCTTGAATGAAGTTTTAATTCGGATCATCACAAAGTTTCATATGGTATCAAATGACTGTAAAAGCAAAGCCCCCTCTCTATGGACTTGATCCAAAACCCACTAAAGTCAGTGCATTCCTACTGACTTTGTTGATCATTGGATCAGACCGCTTCTGCATGGTAGCAGAGCTGTTGTATAATGGGTTTTTTTTTCTTGTTTTCCTTAAGAAATTCGATCATCCATCCATAAAAAGTTTGCATCGAGGGAAATTCATTTGGAACTTGGCAAATGTTCCTCTTCTAGAGCAGTATATTCATGCTGTGGGCCAGAACAGTTATTGTGAAGTTGTGGAGCAAGTTATTCAGCAATTCAAAGAGAAAATACTACCTAAGCTAAGCAATTTTCGAACCTGTGAGTATTTTAGTACAATTATACTGTAATGTAATGCAAGGCATTTTTAAAAGGGAATTGGAATGTTTTTAAGAGACGGCAAGTTCAAGGCACTATAGGTAGAAATTATTTATCCACTGGACATGTAAAAATTTTCCCACAATGCACCATGAGCATGTGTCAGAAACAGGACTAGGAGAGGATCATCTCAAAGAATGAAGGGGGAGTTCAGTCTCGCTTGTTGGCCTTCTGCTGAGACTGCCACCTACAGTGAAGGTTTTCATTATGTAGACACCAAATTGTAGAAACAAACAAAGGCTAACTCATTTAATATAGCTGCAGGGGGTAGCTAAGTTAGTCTGTACAGGATAAACTTAAAAAACAACAAATGGTCTGGTAGCACTTTATAGACTAACAAAACATATAGATGGTATCCTGAGCTTTCGTGGGCACAGCCCACTTCTTCAGATGACCAGAGTTTAAACTCCGGTCATCTAAAGAAGTGCTCTGTGCCCACAAAAGCTCAGGATACCATCTATGGGTGCAGGAAATTCCAATCCTGGCTTCATTAACAATTTCGATATGTCTAATTTACATCCCTCTTTCGAAAGAGGGATGCTGTCCAGATATAGCCTATATTTTTGTTAGTCTATAAAGTGCTACCAGACTATTTGTTGTTTTTTAAGTTTATCATTTAATATAGGCCACCAGACAGCTGTCAGATAACAATGTTTATGAAGACGTCTGTGTGATCTCCTGTGTTTGGAATGCACTTAGCATGTTGTGGGTGCTACCACAAGTTAAATAATAAATTACTATATCATTGCCAGTTGCCATCTAGTCTCCTATTATATAGGATTAATAAAACTGAGGTTCTTAGGAAGAAAGGAGACTTGGCAAGGCATGTTGATTATAGCAATATTGTCATGTCTATTAGGAGACAGATCAATATTTGTATCCATGTATAATCTGAGTATTCACATATGATGTGGAAATTTAGTGCATATTTTCAGTGTAGATTTCTTAAGAAAATGAAAAAGCTAGAATAAGGCTTCTTCTGTTTATAATAAACAAAGAAGATTTACCCTTAATCAATTAATTATTTTTTTTGTGGAAAATAAAATGAAAAATGTACATTCTTCATTTAAAACATAGCTCTGGGGTAGGGTGGCTCAGAGCCGGGGCAGTCCTGGAGGTGGGAAAGGCGTCTCCAGCAAGCCCCTTTCACTTGCCTGGTGATTCTGTCTCTTTTCTGTATGGTTTTATGAAAAGCAGTCTCATTCCTGGCACAACCAAACCCATACTTTGCTTAAATTATGATAAGAGGTAGCTATATACTGAATTTGGTGGTCCTAGCCATAACACAGGGTGAGAAACCTTTTTTGGATCACTTACCCTAAAAAATCAGTTGGGGAGGGGCACATACAAGTGAGAAGCAAAAGGAAAAAAACCATCACTGATGTGGCCCCTGACTAAGAAGAAAGACATTCCCCACATACACCAGAGCCTTGGGGGCCCCAGGCTAGTAGATTTTATGTGTTCCAGCCCTGTGGGAAGATGGCAGGGGGAGAGCTGCAAGCTGGCGGCCACATCTGGCCTCTGGGCCTTAGGTTGCCCACCCCTGTTCTAACAGTTTAAGAAGAGTTCTTGAACAGACTAACAGACACACAGACAAACTCTCCAGTCTATAGTATATTATTATTTATACATAATACTGTTTCAATTTTTTTCTGCATTTAGGTATCAATCATGGGGACCTTAATGACCACAATATCTTGTTGGATTCCAACCCTGCTTCGCCTGAGAATCCACAATATACCGTGTCTGGTATTTTGGATTTTAGTGATATGAGTTATGGTTACTATGTATTTGAATTAGCAATAACTATCATGTACATGATGATTGAGAGCAAGGATCCTCTCCGTGTGGGAGGGTATGTTATTGCAGGGTTTGAAAGCATTGTACCATTGACAACAGAGGAGAGAGATGCCCTGTTTCTCTTGGTATGTTGTAGATTTTCTCAGTCACTTGTCATAGCCTCCTATACTTCCCTCTTGTATCCTGAAAACAAAGAATACCTAATGATCACAGCAAAAACTGGACAGAAGCATTTATTAAAAATGTTTGACACAGGCCAAGAAGCTGTAGAGAAGGTTTGGTTTGAGACTGCCAAAGCATATATTAAACATTGAACCTGTGTAGCTTTCATACCTGTATTACAGATACTTACTAGTAAAGATGCATCTAACAATTTAGGTAATTGTACAATTTGTATTCACTTTGTTTTTAAAGTAATTTTAAGATAAATTAATCCATTGAGAATATTTTCATAAATGTATCAATGCCTCTTTTAATGATTAAAAAAAACTCAAACAACTACACATTGTCTATTCATGTTCAATTACCAGGCTAACCAGTTAACTGATTAAACTTGAAGGAGTGGGGGAGGCCACTCCAGCTCAGCAGGTGGGCAGGTGCAGGAGCCCCTACACTTGTGGGCAGGGGCTGCTCCAACCTGGCTGCCTCCAGCCCAGCACTGGGCTGGTGGCTCCTCACCCACAGGAGCTGGGAGTTGAAGGCCTCGCATGGGACTGGAGGTGGCAGCCAACAGAGTGGGGGCTGCTGGCTCCCAGCTCACATGGACTGGGAGTTGGCACCCTTCTCACCTGGGTCTGTAAGCAGCAGTCCCCTCTTCCCAGCTGCCATTTCTGGCCCTGTGGAAGGCTGCTGACTCCCAGCCCAGCAGCCCGTTTACCCATTCACATCCCTACTAGAGACAGCCTCTTGGTTTTCTAAAAGTGCATTGAAATTGTACATTTTCTCATGGGTAAGTGCTCGTGTACAATTCAGAAAATTGGATTCAACATGTTTATACTCCCTATTCATTATTTTTTAAGTTTTTATACTAAGTTTAGTTTAAGGCAATTGACCTCAATAGAAGGATTCCCCTTGATTTCAGTTAATTTTGGATCCAGTCCTGGGTGTCCTATGACTCCCAAACCACCAGGCACAGCCATGCTCACACTCTGCCCCCCAGAACGGCTGCTGTAGGCGTTCTTGGGGCAGAGTGTTGCTGCCTTGAGCACCTGCCCTCTAGGGTTGCCAGGTGTCCGGTATGCTCAGCATGCTGCCCTGTCTCCTCCCCTTCCCATGCAGGCCGGGCCTCAGCAGAGGGGGCAGGGTTGCAGGTGGGGTTGGGATCCTGCCTCCCCTACCCCAGCTGCACCTACCGTCTATGCACCTACCGCCTATGGATCTAGTTTTTGTCCATCTTTGTCTGACACAGGAAGTATATTTTCAAATAAATTTTCCATGTTTAATTTTGGCACAATACACAAATACAAAAATGTTTCTTTTAATCTTTGCCAGAGCATGCACATTTATAGCCAGCCGTGTGTATTCAGCTGCATCTCCCCACACCTTGCTCAGTCTTGCAGCTAAGCTTCTCCCAGGACTCTCCTAGCAGCTGTGCAGGAGGAGGAGTGTGACAACAGCAGAGGACTGATGTCAGTGTGTCCTCCTTCCCATTCCCCATCTCTGCAAAGCAGGGGTCGCAGAGAGCTGCTCCAATCTGAGGTATGAATGGTGACTGAGATGAGTGTTTCTCAAAGAGACAGTGAACTGTTTCTAAGATTTCTCCAGCAGCTAGCTCGCTCTCCTACACTCTCTGTATCACACACCACATCTAGTGTGTTATACACCCAGTCTGTCTGCCACCCACTCTGTCACACACTGTCTCTCTGACTTACATGTAGTCACTATGCACACAAGTACTCTCCCAGTCTCTGTGCCACAGTCACACTTAGTCTGTATCACATATACACACACACTCTCTCTCTCTAGCCCCAGCACTGTCCCTTTTGGCTGACACCCCACTCCTTCCGGGAGCCTGGACTAGGGATGTTAAATATCGGTTAATTTATTAGTCGAGTAGCCTCATGAATTCTTATCAGTTGACTATTCTATAGTCCCCAGGGGTGAGGCCAGCAGCCTATGCACTCGAGCCCCATTCCTGAGGAGTCCCCTGGAACTCTGCAATGCTGCCTCTGTATCAGAGGCAGCAGTATGGGGTGCCAGGCGGGAGCTGGTACGTGAGGTGAGCCAATTAAAAAACCTGATAGAGACAACAGCACGGGGTGGCAGCAGCCCATGTGGGGCGGCGGGGTGTCTGAACTCCCAGACCTGGTGCAAGCTGGAACTGACCTGGGCTGTCTGCCCGTCTTGCTCCTAATACACTTTAAATGCACAGCCACAGCAGCGGGAGGTCCTAGACCTATTGCAAGCCAGGATTGAGCCAGGCTGCTGGCCAGCCTACTAAAAAATTTGCTGGTGGGGGAGGGAAAGGCATGTAGTCTACAGCATTAACCGATATCAGTTAATCAATTACAGTATTACATCTGTAGTCTAGACCAATCCCAGACAACTTCCCCCTGCAAAAATTATTGCCAACTCCCAGACTGGGACATCATCCTTACCCATCCTGGCTAAGCCATTGATGGACCTGTCCTCCATGAACTTATCTAGTTCTTTTCTGAGCCCTAGTAGGGTGCATCTACACTGCACCCATACTAAAAATAAGCTATGCAATTTTAGCTACGCAAATTGCACAGCTTATTTTGAATGTGTTTTGAAATACATCGCTCTTCCAAAGTGTCCCTTAATCCTTGTGAAACGAGGTTTACAGGGACATCAGAAGAGTAAGCCTGATTATTTTTAAAGCTATTTCAAAATAACAGGCTTGTTTAAAAGATACGGAATAGCTATTTTGGGATACCAGAAGTGTCCTAAAATAGCGCCGCAGTGTAGATGTACCCGTATAGTCCTGGACTTCATAACATCTTCAGAGCATGCAGTTCTATAGGCTGACTATGCATTGTATGAAAAAATACTTCCTTTTATTTGTTTTAAACCTTCTACTATGGCTTGTGTTATGAAAAGGAGTAAATAACACTTCCTTAGTCACTTTTACTATACTCATCATGATTTTATGCCTCTATCATAGTCTCCCTTATTCATCTCTTTTCCAAGCTGACAAATCTATTTTATTAATCTGCCATGCCCCATATATTTGTTGTTGTCCTTTTCTTAATTTTTCCAATTTTAATATATTGTTTTTGAGCTGGGGCAATCACATCTACATGCAGTACTCAAAATGTAGGCATACCATGGATTTATATAGGGGCAAAATTATATTTTGTCATGTTATTATCCCTTTCCTAGTGATTCCCAACATTGTTTGCTTTTCTGACTTTTGCTGCACATTGAGTAGATGTTTCCAAAAAATAATCCACAACTTCAAGATCTTTTTCTTAAGTACCATAAAATCTCGAGTATAATGCGTACTTTCCCCCCCGGTGTTTTAGGGTCAAAGCCTGGGTGTGCATTATACACAAGAGCTATTTTTTTTAAAGTTTTAAACTTCTCCTTCCCTCTGCACAGAAACTTTCCTGTTGCAGCACAGTGCAGGGTTGCAGCCTCACCAGGCTCCCGGACAAGGTGAGGAGCCAGCTGCTCCTTCAGGCTGCGCCCAGGGGCCCCCACGGCAGGCATGAGCTCAGCGCGGTGCAAGCTCAGCTGGGCAGGGGGACCCTGCAGCAGTCATGAGCTCAGTGCGGGCAGACGGCCCCGCGGCAGGCAAAGTGAGGAGCCAGTGGCACTGCTAGGCTGCATTGCATTGGCTCGCTGCCTGCCCTGTCTCAGCATGGGCAGCTGGGAAGGGGGCCCTGCAGCAGGCGTTAGCTCAGCTGGGCAGGGGGCCCCGCAGCAAGTGCGAGCCCCTTCCTTCCTATATATACCATAAAATCATGAGTATAATGGGGGTGCACATTATAGATAAGAGTTTAGTTTATTCAAGAATTCTGATGTTTAAAAGGGAGGTGCGCATTATACTCGAGATTTTACGGTAGTAACAGCTAATTTATACCAGGAGTGTAGCCACTGTTGTGCCTGAATGGGCCATGGTCCACCCTGCAGCCCTCCAGGGGTTTCCTCATATGGCCCAATACTGGTCCTCCTCTACCAACCCACCTGGCATGCCAGCCAGGGAGTGGAGCCAGGGCTTATTTTTCTCCACCTGGAGCTCCTGCTTGGGAGTGGGGCCGAGGCACCAGGCTTACCCCATTTTACCCACTGCTCTAGCCTGGGAACCAGGCCAGGACTTAACCCACTCTGCTGCTGCTCTAGCCCAGGAGCCAGGCTAGGGCACCAAGGTTCACCCTGCTCCACCAGGCGATCTAGCTGGGGAGTGGGGACTCACCACCAGGGCTTAGGCCCCCCACCACCATTGCCCTCCCATTTTAAGTTGGGCCCACTCAAATTGGCCCTTCTGGCTATGCCACCTCCCCGCTTGTGTGTAGCTGGGATTGTTTTCCAGGGCACATTTTGCATTTATCACCATTTTATTTCATTTGACATTTTGTTGCCCAGTCACCCAGGCTGTGTCTACACTGGGTCACTTATTCCGGAAAATCATCCGCTTTTCCGGAATAAGCTGCGAGCTGTCTACACTGGCCCTTGAATTTCCAGAAAAGCAACGATGCTCTACTGTACAAAATCAGCCGCTATTCCAGAAAAACTATTCTGCTCCCGCTCGGGCATAAGTCCTTATTCCGGAACACTGTTCCAGAAAAGGGCCAGTGTAGACAGCCCAGTAGTCTTTTCCGGAAAAAAGCCCCGATCACGAAAATGGCGATTGGGGCTCTTTTCCGGAAAAGCGCGTCTACATTGGCCACAGATGCTTTTCCGGAAAAAGGGGCAGAGTATATTATTGCAATGCCTCTTTTATTTATAAAGGGCTTTTCCGGAAAAGCAGCCTGCCAATGTAGATGCTCCTTTTCCGGAAAAACTGAAAACAGAA